CCACGTTCTTTAACCCACTTAGCTAAGGGGCGTTCCGAGTGAATATTGTTGGTTTTGCGTTTTCTTTTCAATAATAAGGGGTACGTCTGAGTAAAGATGCCAAAATAATCATACATTTCTGTATTTCGATTTACACCATATATATTTAAAAAGAAGACTTATTACTATTACTGTGTCTTTGTATGCTTAAGATATGTGCAAAGAAAGAAAAATACAGAAGAGAACAAGCCTAGACTGAAAAAAATATTTTAGATGAAGGTTAAACATGGCACGGTTACAAGGGGATTGACGAATGTTTCACGGACACCCGTTACACGAAGGAGCAGCGGCGTGCGCGACGAATAACGTATGAACTCCTAGGGGTGCAATCCAGGACGGGAGGGTTCCCCGTGGATGTTTCCCCTCCCGTGTGCTCCGGCAACATTTTCCACTTCTGATAGTCGATGTCTCGAAACCGGGAAAGTTTCCGCGCGACTGTCTGGGAAGTGGGGGGACTCCGATTGCGCGTGGACTTCGTGAGAGAATTACGGGAGAGGTGAATGCATTAAGGGTCGCGCGAGAATGGCGATGGATCCAACGGCCGGAGAATAGTAATGAATACACGAACTAGAAACGCATGCTTCGCGAAGATAATCAAGTAAAGCGAGTGTCGCGATCGCGTGGTACAAGATTTTAATTGTCATATATCATCGACGAGTGTTCGAAGGCTTTTCGGAATTGACAAGGACAGGTTCCCTAGGTGTAACTTTGACTTTTTAATGAGGTTTAATGAGGAAGCTTTGATTTTTTTAATGAGGTGATAGAGCTTGGAATTCTGAAACCAATGATATTTCGTTCAGTCGCATATGAATATTAGTTTATAAAATATTTAACCTCTTGAGAGATATTGGCACGTATTTGTACATTTAGTTTTTTTTTATTCAAGCATCATTCCGAAATTAAAATATTCTTTCTGGCCTTAATAAATTGGTCCTTGAAAAGGCTAATGGTGAGTGCCGAAAGGCCTTCGAACATTCATCGGTGATTCACCGTATACGTTCGTAGACGTTTACTGGAAACCTCATCTCTGAAAAGTACCGAAGGATGTTTGAAGTCTGTCGTGGAAGTCGTGGAAGTCATGGAAGTCGTAGAAGAAAGAAAAGTTCTCGTGGTTTATTTCTTTGGAAGCCACAAAAGAGGTTCCAAGAGCGTTCGAAGCATCGATGCAACGCGAGAGGGTTTGTATTTCAGAAAAATTGATTAAAAGACGGCGTATCGTTGGAAGAGAATCGAGCTCGATACTCTATGAACTACGAGGATAGAGGTTGGAGTAGAGATTCCACCGTGATTCTTTTGGGCAAAGAATTCTTCGAGATCGACAATTTCTACGTTTGTCCGTCGATAATCGAGCGTCGACGCAGCCTCCGAAGATGAAGAAGAAGAATGAAACAGGGTATGGTGGTGGGGGAAGAGAGAAAAATAGCTCGGTGCAGCGAAAAGCTACGGGGGCAAACGAGAAATATACAACTGCAGACGGAGAAAGGAGGAGAGAGAAAGAGAGAGGGAAAGAAAGGCCCGTAATCCCGGCGAAAAGGAACGAAGCGGAAGCCAAAGGGAGCAAACGTTCCCTCCGTTCCTCTCCCCCGCGCGTCCAGGTTCGCCTACGGACCGAGAAAGAAGTGTTTCGGTCGTTGCCGAATCACTTCCGGTTTGTCTCGCAGTAAAACTTCTTTAAGTCGGCCGTTTCGTAGCTTCTTCGGGCCCGATAGCGGGCCCTTCGACCGGAAATAGCTTTTCGGTGCTAGCCCCCATCCTCTCTATCCCACTCCACACACCCTCTGTTCACCCCTTTTTCCCTTCCTGGATGTTCTACGCCTCTTTTCTACTCTCTTTTTCTCGTTTCTGAAGCTTCGTTCGTCCCTCTTTCCCACCCCACCACCACGAAACTGGACTCGAGTGTGCCACGAACCACCACCACGCCGTCGTCGTCCCTTGTCACACGACGCAAACTTTTTGAAAAGTCACGCTGTGCCAGACGTTACTTGGCTCGGTGGTCGAATAATGGCTCGATAATCGGTTTACAGGAAATCCAATTTGTTCGGGGGGGAATGTTATTCGTTCGGGCGACTCGATCCACCATCGGGCGTGTAGTCAAGAGCCGGATCTCTTTAGGGGATGGAATAGTCACCGGGCGACGAGATGTATTGGATTGTACGTTTAATTGATTGTTTTGTCTTGGAGCGGGAAGAATTTATTTATGGATTAAGTGGAATTGTCATGAGAGAATTTTTTCGTTTTTAGCATTGTGGATCAGTTCTGTCGTGGACAGTGGACGAAAGATTGTCAATTGGGATATAGAGTAGATGATTGCAGTAGGTGAAATCACAAAAGTAAGAAGAGGTTACAGTCAGTCTTCGATTGCTCAACGTACAGAATAGTTGTTTTCCGTCTAAAGAGGCCGGGTTCAAATCTCCGATAGATGCAATCTCCGATTTTTCTTTGGATTTTGTAATGCTACTGCAATTACTATATCAATTACTCGGAAATATCAACGAAAACAATGGTTTATAAAAATGTGTGAATTTTGAAGCAGCAAAATTGGAACTTGAAAGGATTAGATGAAAATTGGTAATATTTCTGCACAAAAAGAAAAGCATTGTTTCAAAAATTACGCAACACTAGATTTCATACATATAGTGAATGCAGTGTAATCAGTAAAAATAGTGTTAAAGGGAGAAAACTGTTCCCGGAAAATTCTGACTTAGGATGAACCTTCGTTTAAAAAACGCAATTTCCAAAGGGGGCTGTAGGGAATATTCCCCCAGTCAGAATTTAGTATCAAAAGTGGGCCACGTAAATTGTGTTAGCTTGTTGAAACACGTTGTTAATGTTATAATTGGGTGAAACGCGGCGGGGTTGCTGAAGCTCCGCGTTATAACAAGTTGTTTAACAGTAATAAGCGTGAAATAAAATTGTGCGTCGTATAATGTACGATGTAACTTTCCGAATGAGAACAATGTATGTGTGTGTTGAGTATGCGTGTGGCAGCCAGGTTATAACAAACGTATTTCGCTGTCGCATTTGCAGTCATTCTTGCGAATTTGCGCGGGCAAATTGCAAAAGCCCGACGGCGAAACGAATGACGACCGATTATTAGCAACAAAATTTGCAGTTAATTCTGTGCGTCCGTGCAATATGCGTTATATTAATAATATTCTATACGTGCTCGCCGATTGGCTCCGTTAATTCGTAACCCCGACACGCGAATCCACTGCCTACAACAATTTCGCGCGGTAATATTATTAACGATATCACGTTGCATTCAATTATAATATCTGTTAAACGTTATGGTAAAGCGAAATCAGAATCTTGATAATCGAAAATTCATGCGTTTAGTCGCGTGAAAGGCTCAGAAAGACGAAGTACAACGATAATTGTATTATAATTCTTTGAATATTTTTAGCCTCGAACAAACGCACGTACGTTTAATAGCGTCACTGTTGTTGTGTACTTCGAATCTCGTCCGAGTCAATTCCACGACAAATTACACTCCCTCTCTCTCTGTTTCGAAGAGCTCGAATCCCGGGCTCGATTCTTCGCACGGGGATAACGAAAATTGTTGGAACAGGACCGTGGAAAGGTCGAAGGGGAAAAGCGTCACCGGCAGAAAATAGAGGAAGACGAGGACAGAGAACGGGTGGGGTAAGGGAGAAGACGAGTCCGCAGGCGAAAATCCTGAACTCGTCCCGAATATTGCGCTTCGATCGCGCGCGTACGATAGGAAACTGTCGACGACACCTTCAATAATTAATGCCCACCCCGGGGGGTTTAATTGATCCGGTTCACCGTTCGATTATCGAAACCCCATCTTTCACACTCCGTG